CGATTCTCAGCTCGTGCTAGGCTCAATGAAGGGCCGCAACAGCAGAAGTTGACAGAACTCGTCCTCCTGGAAGGTTCAGCCGAGCTTGTTGTTTTTTTTTCTTGGGGCCAACCTGGGTACACTGTGGGAAGCAAACTTTGGACGTGCGCAAACAACTGTTACAAGGTGCCCAAGCCGATGATTTTATTATTTGTTTCTTGGGACTACTTACCTGATCCGGTGAGGCTCATACCCTGAAGCTACACTGGGGGAAAGAGACTTTGGACTTTGGCAAAACGAACTTGAAGGCCGGGAAGGTGAGATACCCTCAGCGAATTCAGAAAATATACGCGGGGCATTCGCAGCACCGGTCGTGAAGGAGGAATTCGGGTGATGCACCAAGAAAGAACCGTGAGATCACGCAACACAAAATTATGCGGGGGTTGGGCAGCATACACTCAGCTGCACGCTCATTGCTGTGAAGGCATGCAAAGATCTCATTCGGGAAGTGACTCTGGATTGCTGCGCGAGGAGCCTGTCTCTGACCTCTTTCCCCAAGCTTCCCCCTCGCTATGAAGCTAAGTTCTGCTCGCTGCCAGGCGGGCACGCGGGAACTGCCCCAGCTTTCCCGGGCCAAAAAGCCGAGGCTCACAATCACAAGCCACCCCTCGAATCAGCAAAACGTGTTCAGCATACTTACCTTGCTGATTTATTGGTAGAACCCACCATCTTCTCCCCAACCCGCCAACCCGCCGACCAGCGCAAGCGGTTGCTCTCCTTGGTGGCCTCATCGATTTTCTTCTGAAGCGCGGCGCCCAGGGGGTCGTTGGGTTTTGTGTGCAGCAGCAGATCCAAAAAGCGGTTGATGTGCCTCAGCTTCCGCAAGGGCGACGGCGATGCTGCGCAAAAGTGCCAACAAATCTTTTGGATATCAATCTTGGGCACTACGCAGATGAACCGATCTGCGTAATGTTGACCCCGTAGTACTAAACCCCTGTTTGCTAATATGGGGGTGTCCCTGCGTTTGGTGTCGAATCACCACTTTTGGAGGGAACACCCCGCTATTGGCAAACTGGGGTTGATTGATTCATATGGGATCAACAATTTTTGCTGAACTCATTTCTCCTTGTCAGTTACCTTCATTTCCCCAGGAAACATCAAACTCACAGAACCTCCCAACATCGAAGCGATTGTGGCACGACGATGCGACTCGAGACCCTGCGAGATTGAGCAAGCCAAGCCGCAAGTGGCTTCAAAGGCAGCCCTTTTAAGGGGAGGCGCTGGTAACCGACAGCCATGGGGATATCCAAGTCTGATTTGCGTCTGTTTGCCTGCAAGTGGTGCTTGTGAATGATTGGTGAAAATGGATTCTAAGTCGAAAGCGCGCCAAAGTTTGGCTGCCCTAGCATCTCAGCCTGATTGAAAGTATCGTCCTTAAAGATTTCAAGGGCCGCCAGCCTTAAAAGTAGTTTGGAGAACCCCTCGATTCACTTCGATCGTGGCTTGGTGGTTTAGTGGCTGGGAGTTGTGGTTTTCCACGAACCTTCTACAAACAAGAGGGTTCAAATCCAAATCCAAACCACCAATCCAACGACAAGGGGCCTGATTCGAGGGACCCAGTCAGCAAAACGAGAAACGCGCTGAGGCAGCGGCAGATGCGTCTTCCACCGCTGGAGGTCGTCTTGCGGCAGGAGCGCCTTGGCCCAAGGGGTCCAAAAGGCGGAGGTGGCTCCCTTGCACTCAAGCAAGCGTTTACACATAAATATATATCTGCATACGGTAAACGTGTGCATTCAAACATGTGCATATCTAAATGCAAGTGTGTATATGTATATACAGATATGTATCTGTACATAAAGTAACCTCATAGATGCATGTGCATTGTTCAGACTCTGCGACCCGTCAAGCGCATCTGACACAGCCACATGGGAATGGTCCTCAAAGTCGCACACCCTCATGTGGCAAGTGTCAGTATATCAACAGGTGCCGGCAGGCAACGCAAGAAATACATTCCACAAACGAATGCTTCCCGCAACATACTGCCTTGCCAAGATTCTAAGCACCTCAGCACGTCGAGAATTCTCTCGGTGCCGTTCCTGTCGCAGAATTCTGCCGAGTGCTGTCGGAAAAAAATGTGCTCACCACCTCAAAACAGGCTTTTTCAGCTTTGACGTCGACTGCGACACACTTCTCAGTTTGCAATGAAAATCCGAGGGTCAGGTTCTTTCGATTTCAACCCCCCCCCCCCCCACCAGCCCTATTGTTTTTCCATAGCGGTAGGAAGGGCAACACACCCCAGCTGAGTTTGACCCCGGCTCATGTGAGTCACAATCAAAACCTGGTACCAAAAAGGTGAACCCAGAACCATGGAAGGAAAAGGCGGCCGCAGCCATTTGTGGCTGGGATTGCCCCTTACTAACCTTCCCTGGCCCGGGTTTGGATTGCGACTCATGTCTTACCCGGGCCTGGCCACCATGGGCGACAGCAGCAGTGCAGCCCCGCAGCGCTCCCCGACTTTGACCTCGGCTGAACCGAGCGGCAGTGGATGGGTTCCAAGCGGCCAGTCGCCACTTTGGAGTTGGCCCTGATGGCCCTGTGATGTGCAATTTAATACACCCCGGTTTATTCATGTGGGGGTGTTCCCCTCCAAAAGTGACAAATCCCCACTAAAACCGGGGACACCCCCATATTCATACACAGGGGGCTTATTAATCCGGGGTCAACGTTAGAACTTCTCATGGGTCGAAGGACCTTTTCTGCATATAGAACAGCTTCCAGAAGCTCTCGACCGGTGAGTTGTAGCTTTTTTCTGAAGTGGCCACCTGAAAGGTACGAAGAATGAACCAAACTTTTGGAGTCAAACATAGCGTTGACCACCTGGGAACTCAGCGCGAGCGGCCAAACTGGGCCAGGGGCTTTGAACAACTTCTGGGGGGAAACATGGCAGGTCTCCAACTGGCAGACCCCCTCATGCTCAAAGGCCCACATCCTGTGGATGGTTGCGAAATAAATCCATTTCGCAGCACCTAGCAATTTCTGGTTTCGGATGATTCCCCGCCAACTGCCGGCAACCAACCCTATACCCAAGGTTCCTACATTTTTTTGGTCGCGATGAAAAACACAGGTTTTGCAAAGAAAAACCCGGCTTTCCCCAAAAGAGTTTGGGAGGGGGTATGTCCGGCCGCGCCTTGCTGGTCTTTTGGCTGACGAAGCGAAGCGGACGTTCACTCAATGGCCGGGGACCCCGGCTATGGGATGGCATCCCTCAAACAAACGAGTCACATGATTAGGTATAGCGAAAAGAACATTTGATAGGTTGAAAATGTTGAGGGACCCAACGAAGCTCATGGAGGGGCCAGGTAGCCTTCTTGCACCCATGCGTCATAAGAGGCTCTCAAATATCTCTGCATGCTACGTTTGACGGGTAGCCGACTGCTAACTCTTCGAGTTATTCGACTCGGCCTGCCGACAAAATCTTCTGAAAGTTGGCATCCAAAGGCCATTGGCCATTAGATTGACAACGCGTGGCTGCTTTTGAGCCGGGAGAAGCATCCCTGTAAGGAACGCATGGTGTAGCATGTGGCTCTTCGGGATGAGGGCCCACAGAGCTTGCTTTGCTTCAAAAGCATCACGAGCAAGTTGCGTGTAAATAGTCAAAAACTGAAGCCCTTTGCGTGCAATGATGATGGCTTGGGAACTTTCAATCCAAAGGTCCTGGTTGTACAAGTCACTCAGGCACTCGTTCATAAGTTGAGCAGCAGTGGCCGCTTTTGCTAGCGCTGGGTCATCCGGAACTTCCTCATTGTACCACGCTGTAAACCAGAGCATCAACACATATGTAGTGTTTCCCTTGGACCACCCTCCCAATGGATAGCGCGACTTCTCTTTCCAGTTGATGGTGTCCTGCGTGATTCGGCTAATGTAAGGCTGTCGCTTGGCAGTCCTGCACCACGCCAGGAAATGGTTTGACAAAGATTCGAAACGCGTCCCAATTTTGCTGCCCGGGAAGTGCGCGACAGCCCGCGCGATGACTGAACCCAGAAAGGCTCGTCCCACTCCCAAATGCCAATTGTGCCAGACGTCTGGCATGAACATCGCGGCTGCCATTTGCGTGTTGTGAGGCACACTCAAAAACTCTGGCTCTGGTTGAAAAGGGGGCTTGGCGTGGCATGTGGACAACCACAATGGCTCTTCCGTATCCAGCTGTTCCCAAGGGAAATCCTTTGTGCCGGCAAGGCACAAATGACATACGCCAGCAGCAGGGGTCTTCGTGTTTGCGTGTTCAGTCTTGGCACTGCGCGTGAAGCCCCTGCCCAAATTGCCACATTTCATGAGGAATGGCCAGTCCCCGCAAATGTGCAAAAGGCACATGTAGTGTTGTGTTCCTCTTGGGCATGTCACTCCTTTGTAAAACATGTGCTCTGCCTCGCTGGCTCCAAAACGAAACAGAGAACGAAGAGCGTGTTCCTTCTTGCCATACAAGTGCTTTGGCAAAATGCCACTCAAAAATCTGGTGCTATAGGTTGAGCCAACGTAATTGAGCTTGTGTTTGATGAAACGCCCTTTGCGGACTCGGTTCGCCATGCTGGTGCCTCTCCCTAGCAGACTGTAGAAGTTGGAGATCATAACGGCCCCCCGCTTCCGCCCCCGACCTTCATCTCCGTGATATAAGACTGCCGCTGTTTGGCATAGGTCTATCAGTCCAGCTCTTGCGCGCTCGTAGATGGGATGTGCAGGGTCAATTTCTTGATATCGCTCCCAAAATGATTTCCAAATACATTTGGACCGTTCAGAATCTGGTTGTCGCAGGCCGGCTAAAATATGCCAAAGGTTTTCTTTGAGAAGCAGCTTTGCCCAGTTTGTCAATTTGAGGCCGACCAACTCCTCCTGATCAGGCTCAATAGGGCTGAGGGGCACTGGCAAGCAAAGGTTGTAGGACTCTGCGATGCGGTTCAACTCATGCTCGGAATGTTGCAACCTGCAGTTCGCAACCTCCTGAATCCCAGAATCCCGCACCACTGTGGAATCGCCGAAGTCCTTCACAATGCTTCGGGCTGTTTGGATAGCTTGACGGCAGGAGGCCTGAGCACGCTTAAAGCGTGATAAAGTTCTTGGATCCAAAACCTACCCTTTAAAAAACGGGCCGCTTTTCTGAGAACAAGATGGGCATAAATTCAGTGCCCACATTGGCCTGTTGGTTCTAAGTGGAATTTTCACAAAACGCTCTGAAAAAAATGGGCCGACCAATCAATTAACCAAGCAACCAACAAGTTAACCAGTTCACTCCGGCAAACCTTGCTTAATAAGGTGCATGGCGCTCCGTCGCCTGTGCTCTTCGAGATGGCTCGCAGCGTGTGCCCGGCGCCTGGCTTGGCAGCGGCTATAGGGTGAGAGGCTCTAGGGTGAAAGGCTTATCATGTTGCAGTGCGTTATTGTGGAACGATTCCCAAAAGCATCTACAAGCACGCTGTTTTCCCCATTTGCACGCTTTCACGATGGTGTTCCACATCGTGCCCGAGCTCAAAGTGAAATTGACTGAATGCAGCCAGTCATAGGCACAACGATTCTGATCAGCTGTGCGGCTGCTAGCCATGAAGCCTTTGCTCAAAAACATGCAGCGCTTAAGCTTTCTTAGCCTTCCGCTTTGCAGCAGACTTGGCTTTGCCCTTGTTGGAATCTTTGGAACTTCCGGGGTCGGCTTCCTCATCAGGGCCGGCTCCTGCAACCTCCGTAGCCTTTCGCTTTGATGATGCTCTTGGTTTTGGCATGTCGCTGCTGCCCTCCGACTTGTTGAAATATTTCTTTTCATTCCTTAGGGGTGGATTAACCCATGCATTATACATGCGTGAAAGTCACACACACACGCACTCAAACAAACACACACACACACACAAACACACACACACACACATACACACACACATGCAAACACACGCACACACACCTGCACGCGCACACGCACGTACGCTGCTGAGGTCGAGACCGCACTTTGCGTTCCGTGGCCGTCACCTTCCCGCACCTGGAGGCCGGGCAGTTTGCGGGCTCAGCGGTAGTTGTGTTCTTCCTCAGGGCTGGGCGTGGCTGTGGGTTCTTTGATCACTGCATCCGTTTTGGCCCAATACCTTACACATGCAAGTAAACGACCATGTCCGGCAATCTGAACTAAAATCATATAGGCATGACCTTTTCATGCGGACAGCTGGCTCCTTTGTTTGAACTCCATGGACCGAGCCAAAGGTCATAACATCGTTGCATGCATCGTAGGCCGCGTCCAGGGCTTTCAACTCTCGCTCAAGTTTCTTCACTGACCTGGAACAGAAGTCTGCATGGGTTAAGTCATGCGTTTGGGACCCCCTTCAGCGACTTTGAGAGCCCAGCTCCATTGCTGATTGGTCGTTGCCGTAGTTTGAATTCAGGTCCCGGGTCAAGGCCATCAACTTCTTCGATTGAGAAAGGATGCTCTCCATGAATTTGCGCAAGTCTTCCTTGGCCTGCCAAGGCTGACCATGGGAAACAGTTGAGCAACCCTTTCTAGATATAGGAAGTAAATGGTTGAAGACTCGCTCAGAACCTGTCCTGGTTGCCCTGGTTCACAGGCTTGGGTTCGGTGCTGTTGCCAACGCTCGTCACGAGAGCTTGGCGCGCTTTCATGGCATCCACACCAGCAAAAGCTTTCGGGTCAATGGTGATACCCGGCTCCGGGGCCTGTGGCAAACAGTCGATTGATCGAAGGTGTTAAAAGAAAGAAGGGCCTTTCCCTGTTCGCGGCGGGATTCCTCGATCGAGTGCTCTTCTTTCCTTTCGCCTTTCTCTCTGGTACAGACCCAGAATTCATCCGTATTGTCATAGCGGTTCTTCCTGAGTTGAAGCAAGCTGCAACAAACAATCGAAATGCACAATAGCAAGTGCATGGACTTAGCTTTCAACAAGTTACCGCATCAACTCGGCCGCCCTCTTCTCACAAAGACTTTTTGCCCCCGATATCCTCAACCTTAATGATCCGACATGACTGAAAGCAGACTATTTTTTGCGCGAAGCAGTTTGGTAGTTTGGGCTATCACCATGCAACTTGTAAGTCTCTCAGGGCGCAACGGCGACCATCCCAAGTCATTCTTCATCTCCTTCTCAGAGTACCAGCCTTCCTCCAAGGTGATGGTGTGGCTCTGCTTGCGGGAGACCACCCTCTCCAGGCGGGTCAGAAACTCCTCCTGGGCCCACACAAGAAAAGAGCGGTTGAATTGAGTTGACTAGGGCAATCGGGGTCCTTTGAGAAATTGCTGTCCATAAGCATGCGGATCATGCCGTCTTTGTTTTTGGCCCATTCGTCCGCAACCCAGGTCTCAACGGCATATTGGGTCTTCTTCTTTTTCTTGGCACACATGCGATCCAGCCGGGCTCTGGCAGCTGCACGGAGTCGGTCCTTAGCACGAGCAACCAAAGCACCATGCTTCTTCAATTGAGTTTGCGCTCATGCCAAACAATCGTGTGTGTCTATGGCTGCTGGCTCATGTCATCAAACAT